TACATATCATACTTCTAAAAGACACAGTTGAAAACATCTGGAGGACCTGTAAAGCATATAGATGTACTGTCTTTTCAATTAAATACAAAAAGCCTTTTCAAACATACAAAACCGAAATGCTTTTGCTTTTATAATTATAGCTTAACCCAAATCTGGCCTTCCCTTCATTTCAGAAAACACATCTGTCTCTCAGAAATAAAGGTGCAAAATCTGTCACTGTACAATTTTGTTCCTAACAAGTCCCTAAAGGTACATTTCAACACTCAAAAAGTACAAATGTGTACCTTATAGTAACTTAAAGGTACAAAAGTGTATTCTAAAGCAGTGTTTCTCTACCACGTTCCTGGAGGACCACCAGCTCTGTACATTTTCAATGTCTCCTTAACCAACCACACAGATTATCAGCTCATTAGCAGAAACTGAGAGACCTGTAATGGGTGTGACAGATAAAGGAGACATCCAAAACATGCAGTGTTGGTGGGCTTCCAGGAACATGGTTGAGAAACACTGTTCTAAAGCAGTGTTTCCCAACCCTGTTCCTAAAGACACACCAACAGTACACATATTCAACCCCTCCCTAATCAAACACACCTGAATCAACTCAACAGAACATTAGTAGAGACTCCAAAACCTTAAATGAATGGATTATATAAAGGAGACATCCAAAATATGTACTGTCGGTGTGCTTTTAGGAACAGGGTTGAGAAACACTGCTGTGAAGGTGTCCAATTTTTGATCTTTATTTCCGAGTGTGTATAAGTGATCCAAATTATGTTCTGAATGGAAAAAAAAGAGAGAATCTCATTTCCACACACTCTCAAAAGAGTTTATCATTCACAAGCTTAGAAAACAAGACGGATGGAGAACACAGATTTAAAACGGAAGTAAAAGCTGACGTTTATTTATTTAATCGATGGTCTGAACGATGACGATCTGCGTGTGCTCCATCTCGGCGGTGGCTGGGATCTCGTACTGCTCCACCACGTAGCTTACCTGCTCTCCGGGTTCTCCGTGCTGGATGAGCATCGGGGCTTCGGATGCCTCTGCGTGCTGGAAGATCATGGAGGGCTCGCTGCCGTCTGCATGTTGGATGATCATCTGAGGCTCTGCCGACTGCTGGATGATGAGCGACGTTTCTGGAGGCAATATAGGCAGTGGAGGCTCCATCTGAATTTCGTGGTCTTGCGAATCGACAAGAGCTGAACGAACACGCGCGATCAGGCCCTGATGGTCAATCGGGATGTTGAGGGGACACTGCGTCGGGTCGGTTTTGGAAGTCTGAGTCGTCTCTAGCTCTGGAACGACTGCAAAATGATTTTAAAAATATATATTTAGATTGGATAGATTACTTTAGTTACAGATATGGGTTGAATGTCTTTTAAAAAGAACTTAAGGGGACATTTTATGCAAAAAAAACAAACAAAAAACAAACAAACAAAAAAATGCTTTTATAGAGTGTGTTGAAAGTGTGTGAATATAACCAGCTTCTAATGGTAAAAAGGTATTAATTAAATTTTTTATATTCACACTTGATTAAATCAGTCAACAGAATACTTTGATTGACATTCTCCCGTGTCATCATAGGGGGAAAGCCCCACCCATTAGTCTCTCCCACATTAGCATAGGATGTTAGTCCTGTTTTGAATCTGCCACTATGCTGACACATTTGTAGCTCCACCCACTTTTTGAAACTAGCACAATCTCATTTGAATTTAAAGCGACAGTCACCAAAATGGCACAATTAAGATCAAAGCCTATAGGGGGCAGTTTCAAAGAGTTAAAACATTATTTGTGGGATATTTTGAGCTGAAACTCCACATACACACTCTAGGAACACCAGAAACACATTTTTTTACATTTTGTAAAAAGGAGTTTAATCATTTTAATAATAAAGCTGCGCTACAAATAATGCATATATACAGTTGAAGTCAGAATTATTAGCCCCCCTAAATCTTTTTTCTTTTCTTTTTTAAATTTTTCCAAATGTTTAAAAGAGCAAGGAAATTTTCATAGTTTGTCTGATAATATTTTTTTAATTTGGAGAGTGTCTTTTGTTTTATTTCAGCTAGAATAAAAAGCAGTTTTTAAATTTTTTAAGAACGATTTAAAGGTCAAAATTATTTGCCCCTTTAAGCTATTTTTTATTTTGATTGTCTACAGAACAAACCACCGTTATACAATAGTTTGCCTAATTACCCTAACCTGCCTAGTTAACCTAATTAACCTAGTTAAGCCTTTTAATGTCACTTTGAGCTGTATAGAAGTGCCTTGAAAAATATCTAGTAAAATATTATGTACTGTCATCATGGCAAAGATAAAATAAATCATTTATTAGAAAAGAGTTATTAAAACTATTATGTTTAGAAATATGCTTTAGAAATCTCCCAGTTAAAAATAAATTGGAGAAAAAATAAAAAGGGGGGTTAATAATTCAAGGGGGTTAATAATTCTTATTTCAACTGTAGTGAAAATTGGTTGAGGGGTATGTTTGGCTTCATGCATTTTTATCTATTATGAAAATAACATTAGGCTTGCTTTTTTAACCAGTTTTTGTGTTAAGATAAAAAATATGATATGTATATTTTGTCAAAATAAGTTTGGGTGAAAGAACAACAACAACAACAACAACAACATTAATTAAATATGAACTGAAAAATGTTAAATTAATAGTTCAGCCAAAAATGACTATATTGTCATCATTTACTCATCTTTAAATTGTTCTAAATCAGTTTGAGTTTTTTTTTTTGTTCTGTAGAACACAAAAGAAGATAATGAAGAATGCTGAAAAAAGACAACACTGATATCCATAATAGAACAAATAATATAAAAGTCAATATTTACCCATTTCATATGTTTTATTTATTTTGTGTTAAACAAACTGGTTTGGAAAATGTCAAGAGTGAGTAAATGTTAAATGAATTGTAATCTTTGGGTAAACTAGCCCTTTAAATTGGTATTAGCATTATAAACTTATATGTAGCCAATTCTCTTTTGAGTTTTGCTTTTAATTTTTTTGTTGCTCCAGATTATTTTCTCTTTGTATTCAGTACAGTACTGTAATACTTAAAACATCTGTAACATTTTAAAAAGTTTTTGAGGGTTATGCCTGGTCTGTTTAAAGTAATATGTAATAATATGTAATGTTATGTAATAATAACAATATGTCTTTTAATATTTGATGGTTAATCTGTGAGGAGAATAATACCATCACATTGTATAGTAAAAAAAAAGAAGAACATTTTTAGAATGTTGAATGTAGAATGTAGGAAAAAAGGCCATAATAAAACAAATACTATGAAAGTCAATGGTTACCCGTTTAAGAAAAAATCCTTCCGCTTAGTCCCTTTATTCATCAAATTATTATGAAACGGGGTGACACGGTAGCGCAGTGGTTAGCACTGTCGCCTCACATTAAGAAGGTCGCTGGTTCCAGCCCAGCTGGGTCAGTTGGCATTTCTGTTTGGAGTTTGCATGTTCTCCACAGCACGTCGCCACAGCGGAATGAACCGCTAACTTATCCAGCATGTTTTACACAGCAGATGCTCTTCCAGCTGCAACCCAGTACTGGGAAACATCCATACACACAATGACACTACGGACAATTTAGTTTGTTTAATTCACTTATGCATGTCTTTGGACTGTAAGAGAAAACCAGAGCACCCGGAGGAAACCCACACAAACAAGGGGAGAACATGCAAACTCCAAACAGAAATGCCAACTGACCCAGCTGGGCTCGAACCAGCGACCTTCTTGCTGTGAGGCGACAGTGCTAACCACTGTGCTACCGTGTCACCCCGTTTCATAATAATTTGATTTGTGTTCAGATACAGGTTTAAAAAACATCAAGGATTAGTAAATGATGACAGAATTGGGTTAACTGGCCCTTTAAATGGGCTCTAGCATTATAAACTTATCTGTGATAAAATCCCTTTTGAGTTGTGTTTTTTTTTTTGTTTTCCCAGATTATTTTCTCTTTGTATTCATTTCAGTACAGTACTTTATAACACACCCGTAATATTGATGCACAAAGACTTATTCTGAGAACTTTTAAGGATGGTCTATTTAAAGCAAGGGTGGCCAAACTCGGTCCTGAAAGGCCGGTGTCCTGCATAGTTCAGCTCCAACTTCCTTCAACACACCTACCTTGAAGTTTCTAGTATACCTAGAAAGAGCTTGATTAGCTGGTTCAGGTGTGTTTAATTGACGTTGGAACTAAAATATGCAGGACAATGGCCCTCCAGGACTGAGTTTGGACACCCCTGATTCAGAGAAATATGTCAATTCAAGTCTTTAATTATTTGATGGTTTTACTGTGGAGAGAATGATGGACAAAGAAAGAACAGGAAAGAAAGTATTTAACACTTACCATTGTGTTTCAAGATGCTGTGCTTCTTCAAGCTGTATATGTCTGAAAATATGATTCCACACAGATTACAAATTACTTTTCTTGCTCCTACAAGAGAAAAAAACATGTGTTTTTGTATAAATTTTAACTTTTTTCCTGACTGAACAATCTTTCTGAAGATCAATTTAATATCTTGAAAATTATTTTTTACTACTTTTTTCTTTTCTTTTTTTCCCCAATATTATTTTTTAAAAGTACAAAATAAAATGCTGGAAAAAATATTTTAGTTTTATATTAAACTGTAATTAAAATATTTAAAAGCTGGATTTTTTTTTTTTTTTTAAAGTTGCAAGATAAAAAAAACATATATTAAAACAGGAAAACACATTTTTACCCGGTACATCCTTTGTGAATCAGTGGTGCTACTAAAAAGCCTGTAGTGTATCTATTGGCCTGTTTCTACAGAGTGGTACAGTACGGGTCACCTTTATCAGGCTTGTGTTTCCACAGACAAAAGAGTACCAATGGTGGAAGTAGTGTACGACGAAGCTTCAGTCGACGTCTTTTTCGCTCGAGGAAATGTCAAAGTAAATCTGTACGGGTCGTTCACATATTATACGAGAAGCTCTTCTTACAAAACAGATGCTTTATACACATAACTACTTGTGTATAAATGTTTGTTACTAACTTTTATGAACATGATTTAATTATAACTGCAGATCAATGATGTGTGAAAATGCCTACTGTAATGTCTGCGATTATATGAAATAAATAAATGCAACATATATGAACACATACAGACCCTTACAGTCACCGATATGTTACCAATTACAGAAAAACTACACGCAGCATACATTTAGTCCTTATTTAGGTTGAAAAACAACACACGACATATAGCCCACAGTCAGTGCAAACCTCTCATCTGTGTAATCTTCAGCAGCACATGTAGGCTCTTGTTAGAAAGCAATTCCATCATTCTGAGTTCATAATAGTCCAAAAAGTGATGATCATAGTTAAACATGGCAGTTTATGTTTTAGGTTGTTGAAAAAATCATTTGCTCCTTTGTTTTTTCAGGTTTCACTCTCGCGTTTGTCTGTTTCTGAAAGGATTGGACGCCAGAAGCACTTCATAATCACGCGCATGCTAATTAATGAGCTCAAGAAAGTTTGTTATTTAAATATAGACGTGCGGTGAGCTCTCTGCAGAAAGCGAAGCCGCTCATACTTTATTTGGCTTAGTAAATAACAACAAGGCACAGGCTACCCTTTTGTTGTGCTAGGTACCCTTTCAAAAGGGTACCCAAAAATGTAACGGTAGGGTTTGCTTTTAGGTACCTTTGGACAGTGGAAACGATAAAAGCTTACAGAGCCGTACCGGACCATACTGTACCACGCAGTGGAAAAGGTCCATATTTAACTAACTTAACTGCAGAAAGGTGTATTAAACAAGAACACAATTGAGATTTTCTTTCAAAATATCATTAATTCCATTCTCATTTTGAAAAGTCAACAAAAAGAAAACCAAATTTACCATTGTGGACATCCATATGTTTCCGAAGTTCACCTGCAGTTAGGCAAGGCTTTCCGCAATCCAAGCATATGTACGGAGTCACACCTAAAACATAAATGTATGCATCATTTAAAAACCGCCAAGGGTGATGATACAGTATGAAATGATTTTAGTTTTTAGTTAGTAAATGACTTTTTTTCTGAATTCACCACAAACCCACCGGTGTGTTTCCTGTTGTGTGCGATGAGTGAGCTGGACACCGCGAAGGCCATGCCGCAGGTGTCACAGATGTATGGTTTTTCTCCAGTGTGTCGCCGCTTGTGATACATTAGAGTGCTGGCCTGAGTAAAGCGCTTCCCACATTCTCCACATTCATACGGCTTCTCACCACTGTGCTTCCTGAGAGAAAACAGCAAAAACAACAACTTCATACAAGCGTTTTATTCCTCTATTTATTATTAATATTAGTGCAAACCAGATTATCCAGTAGACTACATTCTGACAAAAAAACTTGGAATACAACTCAATAAGTTGTTCATGAATTATTTTCACACATACCGTATGTGAATTTTCAGATTGCTAGATGTGGCAAAAGCTGCTCCACAGAATTCACATTTATACGGCTTCTCTTCTCCATGATGCATGCGGCAGTGATAGACCAGCTGACACTTCTGAGCAAACCGAGAATCGCAGGACGTACAGGTGAAGGGCTTCTCTCCTGAAAACAGCACAGAACATGCATCACTCTACACTCAAAAAATTACTTTTGCTGCTTGTTGTTATCTAAAATGCTAGCTGAAACGACAATTCTTACGCTTGTTTTGGAACAACTTAATTGTGGAGAACTAGGGCTGTGTGATTAATCGGAATTGAATCGCAATTTAAAACTTGCGATTAGTTAATCGCAAGAGGCTGCAATATTTATTAATTATTTTCCCCGCCCAGAGCAAATGCGTGACTGCCCACTGTGTATGATAGACTTACTAACCAATTGAGTGAGCACAGTTTCGTACTACCCAATCAGAATTGCACAACCGAACTATGAGGAACGCCCACAATAAAAAAAACACAAACAGGACATCGCTTACGAGTAAGATGGTGGCATTTGCCGCTTCAGAAGCATTAAAAGACAATTTTATTTAAAAACAAAACAGTACATCGGTAATTTTGGAATATTTTGATTTTAAAGTCACAGACTCTAAACAAAACGGGCAATTTGTAAGAAATGTTGCCACAGCACAAGGACATACAACAACCAGCACCTAAAAAAGCACCACAGGCTTGCTATAAAGGTGTTTTGCTATATTCAATTGAAAGGATTGCCAGTGACACTGAATCTAATAGCAAGCAACAATATTGTATCTTGCTGAGTGTTCTGTATTATTATAATCATTGTTTTTGTTTTTATACTAAGCTGCACTATCTCCCTAATTTGAGTTCAGCATGTTTACAGAAAGGTAGTATAAATTCTATTTGTGTTGACTGTTTGCTCTAGTGAAAAATGAGCGTTTCATTTCTGAATATTTAAAAACAAACTTGAATAAATGCTTAAGTTAAAATTTTTTCAATTCCTTTTTTAAACTAACTCACAGCATTTTAGCAGTAAGAAGCTAAGATAAAGATTATTGAGCTGAGGCTTGACAACAAAATTAAATCGCAAATCAAACCTAAATTGCAAATCTCTAAAAATTTTTTTTAAATATATATATATAAATCTTGCAATTAGATATTTACCCAAAATCACACACCGCTATGTGGAACCCAATTTTTTTTTACAGTATACATAAATATATAAGCAAATTTATGGAAAATGATAAATGTTTAAAGTAATATTCTACAGAGGAAAACAATTTCAACCACTAAATTACATTTAATATACAACTATCACTTTCACAGGGTAAACATTTAAAAATGCCACAAAAAATATGCATCAAACAACCGAATCACAGTAATAAATAGCACCTTAAACAGTTGTTGATGAACTCCCTCTACCCAGGTACTTTTTGATGCGCAGCTCAGTTTTAACTCACACTTCAAAGACTTTCACCTATGTAACATTGCGCGGATTAGACCTTTTCTAACACGACCAGATGCAGAAAGGCTTCATCACATCACGTCTTGATTTCTGTAACTCACTCTTTGGGGATCTACCAACAAGCTCTCTCAAATGTTTACAGTGTATTCAAAATTTCGCAGCACAGGTTGACACACACTTCCTCAAGCCAACATATCACCCCTGTACTTAAGCAACTTCACTGGCTTCCTGGTAAGTTGCGTTTTGATTTTAAGACCCTGGTTTTAACATATAAAGCATTTAACTTTTGACCTGATAACTCTCACCACTCCCACCCACAGTCTTCGTTCTGCATCTGGACCTATGCTATATCAGCCATGCTGTAAACTAAAAACCATGGGTAGTCAAGGTTTTACGTACAGTGTGCGCCTAAGCTACAAAATGGTCTACCCATCAGAATAGGGAATGCCACTTTTCTTGATTGTTCTAAGAAACTTCAAGACTCACCTTTTACCATTGCTTTTAACTTAGATTGATTATTTTGGTAAATTTAATAATTAAATTTTATTGTGGTGTTTTTTTTACTGTTTTTTTTATTGCTCTGCTTTGATACTACCTTATAGCGCATTAGGTCTGAGAAAAGCGCAGTAAAATTAAAATGTATTATTATTATAAGCAAAACTTTAAATGATCGAGTTTGTCACTCACTTTGCAAAAACAAACACTTCAGAGATTAAAAGCATTCACTGTGCGATAAAGTTATCAGACTAGATTTCAAATGACCCTATAACTGAAGTTTTAATACAAAATCTCTGCGTGGGCTTTTGTTTTTGATAAGAAATGATATAGTTAATAATTATCCTGAAGTGTGACATTTTCAAGAACATTATCATTAAGCATTAACTCAATGATTAAGCAGATAAACAAAGGTTCATTTTGAATAAATAACATTTTACCCACAATATTAGGTTCTGTTTTGCCAATGAAAACAAAGCTGGAGCACAACATTTTTGCATCTCAGAATACTGATGTGTTTGGTTTCTCTTTTTGAATCGATGATGTGAATCAATGATCAAAGACAGCAACTTAGACAGTTTCTAAATGAATCAGTTGTTTTCAGCAAATAATTTGAATCATTCAATGAATCACTCATTAAAAGGATAGTTCCAAATCTAAAGTCTTTTAAAAATCTTTGAGTTTCTTCTTTTGAACACAAAAGAAGATATTTTGGAAAATGTTGGAACCATTAACTTACATAGTGTTTGTTCTTCCTACTATGAAAGTTAATAGCTGCAGGTTTACAACGTTTTTTTAAATATCTTCATTTGCGTTTAACAGAAGAAAGGAACTCAAACAGATTTGTAACAAGTGAAAGGTGAGTGAATGATGACAACATTTTCAGTTTTGGGTGAACTATCCCTTTAAGACAACAAATTGCCATCACATACTGGTGGTTTTACAGTCATTTTTTTTAAATCCATGACTGGTCTAAACCAGACAAAACTATACGGTTGAATTGTTGAAGCTTCTTCAAGTTAGAGCCGTACCTGTGTGTATGCGCATATGTGTCTTCAGCTGGTTGCCCTGTCTGAAGGAGCGCGTGCAGAGTGTGCACTGATAGGGTTTAAGGCCCTTGTGAATGCGCATGTGCCTCCGCAAACTGCTCATCTCAGAAAACAGGTTCCCACAGATGTTACAAATAGGCCTGTGTTTGTCCTGCACCGGTTTCACTTCCTCTTCCCCTGCCCAGTCCTCATTATCATTCTCAAACTCGTCATCCATCTCCTCTTCCTCCTCCTCATCACCCGCTTGGCTCTCTTTCAGCTTTCGACTTAAGATCCTCTTTCTTTTGCTGATGCGGACGCTGTTGCCAGGATTGGACTCTGAATCTTCGGTTCCTTCTTCAGTGTGTTTCTCAGCATCCTGACTGGTTTCTTCGCCAGCTTCTTCTCCGCTGATCTCCACTGAAATAACAGATTCAGGATCTTCAGAAGAAACGGGCTTGCTTCGTGGTCTTCCTCTTTTACGGCCCGTACCTTCGCTGTCTTTCGTCTTTGCCGGTTCTGATCCGTCTTCAGCATTTGTTGTCACGTTCTCAGAGTTTGTGGTTTGGTCTTCAGTAGATACCGGTTTAATTCGTGGTCTTCCTCTGCCTCGTTTGAAAGCTGTGACTTCTTCTGGGTTATCTGTGTCATTCTTACCGTCATCTTTTTCACCAGTCTCCTTTTTTTGTTCTTCATTTCCTTTTTCAACTTCTTGATCTTTATTTGCTGCTGGATCATCTTCAACATTGCGAGGGTCTTCATTAGCGGTGGACAGTGGTCTAACCCTGGGACGACCTCTTGGTCTCCCGGATCCTCTGCTTGTTGAGCTGCCGTTTGGACTCATAGCTTGATGTGCTGGCGATTGATCAGTGGAATCAGAACTCAAAGGCCTGACTCTTGGCCGTCCTCTCGGCCTTCCTCGACCTCTTCCTCTGCCTCTCTGAGCGCTGATGGTTTCAACCTCAAACTCATCCTCGTACAGCCTGGTTTTAGGTTTCCTCCCTCTCTTTCCAACTCTCTGAGGGGTTTGTTCGCTGGACGACTGGGCTTCATCCATTGACACGAGATCGTCGCCTGCTCTGTCTTCTCGCAGCAGCTCTCGCTCTTCCACCTCCGAGATCGGCTCTAAAGGCTCATAGTCATCTGGGCTTAGAGGAGATCGTGGATCCTCGTATTCCGCTTGTCTCATGGGCGATCCAACATTTTTTATGTTATCTTGAGATAAAGTGCAGCGAGCCACAACCTCAGGCATCCCAAGATAAGATGCAGCTTTCTGAACACTTTCGATTTCTTCTCTGCAGACAATGAAGCACAAATAATTATTAATATTTTACATAGAAGCAGTTAAATGTTTAGATAGTTTTGGTTTGTTTTATGCTTTTGAATCTTCGTATGTCCAAAAAAGCATTTTTTTGATCAAAATGTAGTAAAAAAAAGTTATATTGTAAAATATTTTTACAGTTTTGAAACCCTTTTTTTTAAATTGAGTTAAAGCATTCTCTTGAGATATTTTAAGACAAACTTTTGACAGTTAATATAAATATTGTGCATATATTATATGTATAATATTATGATATAATTATAAAATGTTATATCAATACAGTACTAAACAAATTATTTAGTACTGTATTATGATTTGGGGTAAATAGGTAATAATTTTCCCTATATAACAAATATTATAGTAATTTATAGTAAATACTACAGTGTTTTGAAACCTACTATAGTAAAGTACTTGAAATAATGCGTTGAAGTAAGTTTTTATAGATACTATGATGATGCAATAACCAAATAAAAACAAAATATTCAGTAATGCACTAAGATTTAGGGTAAATAGGAAGTATTTTCCCTACTTTAAAACGTACTATAGTTTATAGTAAATGCTACAGTCTTTTTGAACCATACAACAGTAAAGTACTTGAATTAACCAATTGATGTAAGCTTAATAGTTCTTATGGTAATGCAATAACCAAACAAATACAAAATCATTAGTACTGCACTACAATTTAGGGTAAATAGGAGGTATTTTCCCCCACTTTTGTATATTACTTTATTAATTTATAGTTAATGCTATAGTTGTTTTGATCCATACTATGGTAAAGTATTCAATGTGCTAAAGTAGTTTTATTGTTCCTATGGTAATGCAATAACCAAATAGAAACTAAATATTCCATACTGCACTATGATTTAGGGTAAATATGGGGTATTTTTCCCCACTTTAAAAAGTACTATTGTAATTTATAGTAAATACTATAGTATTTTTAACCATAATATAGTAAAGTACTTAAATAAATGCATTGAAGTAAGTTTTATAGTTCCTATGATAATGCAATAACCAAATAGAAACAAAATATTCAGTACTGCATTACAATTTAGGGTAAATAGGGAGTATTTTTCCCCACTTTAAGTACTATTGTAATTTATAGTAAATGCTACAGTCTTTTTAAACCATACTAAAGTAAAGTACTTGAATTATTCTGTTGAAGTAATTTTATAGTTCCCATGATAATGCAATAAATGATTCAGTATAGTGTAAATTACACTACTATAGTAAAAAGTAAAGTATACTAAAGTATTTACTACATTTTATCAGTTCACTATAGCTAATATTACAGTACAATCTATAAAGGTGAAAGTAAACCTGTGCTAAATAAATAGAATATTTACAAGTGAAGAAAACTACAACACAGTGTCAGATTAATATCCACTAGTAAATATAATTTTTTAAATCTATACTTATACTGTAAAACTATATAATCTGTAAAATAAAAAATAAGTTTCATTATTTTACAGGTTTGCAAATTGATAAAACTACACCAACACATATTGAAATGATATCTTAAAATTATTTTAATGTCTATATAAACATTGTGCACTGTATAACCATGAAGATAAATTTCCCTAAACTCACCTGTCCATATTCAGATCTCCGGTGTAAATGTAAGTCAGTAGTTTTTCAAAGATGGCACTGCTCACGCTCTCAGGGTCCAAAGTTATGGTGGGATCCTCTCTTCCAGCATCAACAGACTGTGTGGAGAAATATTCACTAAAGGCTGCCAGAACATTGTGATGTGCTCGATACTGAGCCTGACCTATGGATACTGTGCAGTCACACAGAAAGCTTCTCTCGCGTTGCCTCTTCAGCTGCTCCAGAAGAAACTCACTGTGAGTGATATGTGGCATGACGTGTAGAGGAAAAACCTGCAATATCAAGAACATCTTAATTAGGGCCAAACAGAATCTGCTGACACTTTTTGCTATTTCTGTGCAGAATTTTGTAAAAAAAAAAAAGAAAAATTTGCGGATTTATGTGGAATGAGTTTGGGAGTATCAAAACCAAAAACTTAATATACAAAAAAAACAAAAAAACAAAAAAAAAAAAACGTTTTATTTAATGTTTACAAATGCAAATCCAGATAGATCCACTTAATTGATAAACAAAGCAAGTCTCTTATCTAATAGATCTACTAAAAGACAGATACGATTACTCTACAAACTGTATTGTAAAAAAATCATCTCCCAAAACAATACCGCATAAATCTGCAGATTTTGTAAAAAATCTGCGGATTTATGCAGAATTATTTTGAGGCTATCATTTAGAGTTTTAAGAAACAGTCCAGGAAACTGGCATTCCTGATGTTTGTGGGAAGAGCATTCCAGAGCATATCAGATCACATATATAATCAGGAGCAGAACCATGAACCGCTTTATACACTGCATCCACATCCGGAAAGTAATCATAGCGCTTAACTTTTTGTTACAGCCTTATTACAAAATGGATAATATTATTTATTTATTTATTTGCTCAAAAGTCTACACACAATATCCCATAATGACAATGTGAAAAAATATTTTTTGAAATTGTTGCAAATTTATTAAAAATAAAAAACCTCTAATTTCTCATAGGATCTGTCCTCATTGTCTCCCGGGTCTGTTCTTCCAAGGACACCTGGCAAGACCGGTCTCCACAAGAACACAAGTCTGTTCTCTGTGTTCTTGGAATTGAGAAACAGCCAGAATGTACCTGAATACTTATGTACATGTGACTTTTCAGGTTTTTATGATTAATAAATTTGCAACAATTTCAAAAATCTTTTTTCACATTGTCATTATGGGGTATTGTGGGTAGAATTTTGAGGAAATAAAGGAATTTATCAATTTAGGAAAAAGGCTGTAACATAAAAAAATTGGAAAAAGTTAAGCACTATGAATACTTTCTGGATGCATTGAATATTAAAAATCAAGGTTTTAAAAACGATGCGTGACTTAACGGGAAACCAGTGTAATACAGAGGTAATATGAAAACGAGATGAGGTATGAGTTAACACTCAAGCGGCTGAGTTTTGAATATATTGGAAAATCTTAACAGAATTGGCTGGCAGACCTCCAAATAAAGTAAATATTTGTCCCCAAATATTAGTCAATAATATTACTGAAATTAATTTACAAACTTCCACAAGTCTAAATACATGTGGTTTAGGTGAACTGGGTAAACTAAATTAGTGTATGTGTGTGCGTGAATGAGTGTGCATAGATGTTTCCCAGTGACGGGTTGCAGCCGGAAAGGCATCCACTGCGTAACACATTTGCTGGATAAGTTGGCGGTTCATTCTGCTGTGGCAACCCCTGATGAATAAAGGGACTAAGCCAAAAAGAAAACGAATGAATGAATTTGAAAACTGAATAAATATAAATTTATACAAGTAAATAAAAGGCTCAATGATGGCCTAAAAATCTGCGTGTTTCTGCTTGCGCAGATTCCGTGTGGGCCAACTTATAATGTCTATAGAAATTAAAAATAAAATCCACCAGATGATATTCAAATGCATTTCGTGTGCAACAGAAAAAAAGAAACGTATAATAAAATTGTATCCACTTGGAAGTGAGTACATTTTACTTTTAAGTGAACTATAGCTTTATAATTATAGCTACAATAATTTTGTAGGCATTAAACAATATTACCAAAAGAATTAACTTACCTCACGTAAATGTCTTATGGTCTAAACAACACCCGAAAAAACCTGTAAATGAAATGAAACACACATAGATGTTAAAAAAAAAGAGAGAGAACATACATGTACATCATAATGCTATATAAAACCAGCGCTAGTTTCAGACTTGACAATATCAGTTAAGATAAAAGTTCCCGCCCATTGCTCAAAAGTTGCCTGCAATAACGAATTTGCTGACAAACTATCATCGTTAATAGGTTACTCAAAATATTGGAATGATCTCAATAATTCTAGCTGTAAAATGTACATTAAAACCGCCACATGCAGTGAACTGGGAATGAATGCAGAGAGGAATGTTTGTAATTTTGACATGCAAAACAAAGGGCTCTTATTTCGAAAATGCTCGATCCGGTAGAGCGCGAGCTGCAGTTCACATGTTCAGTCTATGCATTACAAACACAACACCAATAATTAATTAAATAATGGGATTAATCATTATAAAGCAGAATTCGAATTTTGAATAAAAATTCAGGTCTCACGTTATTTCGACAGTAGATTAAAATCGCTTTGCTTTGACGGCCATTTTCGAGCTCTTCAAGGGGATTTGGTCGGTGACGTCACATCCTCCCGTATGAATTCTTTCCGGTGTTTGAAGAAAAAAGCAGGTATGACCGTTAGGTGGAGCCAGAAAGACAGAAAGCAAGGCACATGGATATGCCTAAAAGCTGATGAATTCAAGGAGGTAAATACAGTAATTTTACTTTATTGTCGTCCTAACATGTTAGTATGCTTATGAATTTGGACATTCATATAACGTTAATATATAATAGCATATAAATGCACACTTGTACAGCTACTCAATTATAATTCAAAAAATAAAAATAAAAAAGAGAAAAACCTAATTTTACCGATCCTTCAGGCCAATAACATTGCACGACTGTGACAAGTTCACTTTTTATAAACATTCATTTGAGTACTTTATTCTTGTAATTAATTTTTATTCTTGTTACAATATTGAGTCACACTATTTCAAATATTGTTATTACATTAGATTTATTGACACTACATATAATAAATGAAATAGAAATCTATCTATCTATCTATCTATCTATCTATCTATCTATCTATCTATCTATCTATCTATCTATCTATCTATCTATCTATCTATCTATCTATCTATCTATCTATCTGTCTGTCTTTTCATCCATCCGTCCGTTTGTCTGTCTGTCTATTGTGTCTGTCCATCTTTCTATGAAGGTAATTCAGTTGCGAAACTCGAGAGCTTGCAAATGTAAATGTGAGCACTTGTGATAATAATATTTGTATGTGTAGGTTGAAATGTACACTTACAGCTCTGATGTGAACAGCTGAAATCCTCGATTTGCACACACACACAACAATCCACACACTTGTGTTTTAAATTCGAAGTTGCAGATTAATAGTTGTGTATTTGTAAAATGTCATTCACAAATACAAAGTGACAGACACACGTGTGTGTATTGATAGGTGTTTTGAAGAGCTATCATAAGAGACCACTAGATGGCAGTACGAGGCCATGGTAAGCCTAGTTGAGTTATGTGAGAAGAATAAAGCATTCTGACAAAAGTACTCGGTGTGTGAGCCTCGTCAATACATGGTACCAGGAGAAATAACGAAAATTAAAAAGAGAGATGATGAATAACATCCGTTCACCAGAGGAATTGAAGTTGACGGGAAATGTCAATGAGAACTGGAAAGTTTTTAAACAAAGTTTTGAACTTTATGCGCTCGCTATAGGGCTGGATGGAAATGAACGGAGGAAGATTGCGTTGCTCTTAACAGTGGCAGGACGCAGTGCACTGGATGTGTATAACACGTTTGTCTTTACTGAAGAAGAAAAAGATAAATATGAGGCTGTGATAGAGAAGTTTGAACAATACTGCACACCGAGGAAAAACGAGACCTATGAAAGGTATGTCTTCAGAAACAGACTGCAGAAGGAGTCAGAATCCATTGAGCAGTATGTTACAGATCTGAGATTAAAAAGCCAGACATGCAATTTTGGAACGCTGTGTGACTCCATGATTAGAGATCAAATAGTAATTGGAGTACAAGATAAAAGAGTGAGGATGCAACTGTTGAAAGAGACTGACCTCACATTAGATAGGGCAATAAAAATTTGCCAAGCGTCAGAGTGTGCAATGGCACAGCTGAAGACATTCAGTGAAGAGAAGGAGACAGCAGAAGTGGATACAGTACGTAGTGCTTCAGAGAAAGCCATGTTAAATAAGAAAAAACAACAAAAGCCAAACAAAGAGAGCAGGGCCTGTGGAAAGTGTGGCAACAAACATGCACGGAGAAAATGCCCAGCATTTGGAAAGGACTGTAGAAAATGTGGAGGAAGAAATCACTTCGCAAAGTGCTGTTATTCAAAGAAAAAAGTTAAACTCCTTGAAAAGAGAAGCGACAGTGAGGATGAAGAGGCACCGATTTTCCTGGACTCAATTAAAGAAGGGCAAACTACTTCAAAAGATGAATGGATAGCACACATGGAGGTAAATGGTACTGATGTCTTACTAAAATTAGACACAGGAGCACAGGCAAACATCCTGCCGATGAAAGATTTTCAAAGACTGATAAAAAAGCCCAGGATATGTGACAAAAAGGTGAATCTGAAAACCTATGACAACAATACCATACCGACAAAGGGAGTATGCAGGGTAAGTTTGTCCTATAATGGACAGAAGAAAAATGTTCTTTTTGTGCTCGTAGAAGGAAACAAACAAGCAATACTGGGACTGAAAACATGTATGCAGCTTGGATTAATAAAAAGAGTTCATGTCATAAACAAAGACATGACAGTGAAACAGAAAAAGAAAGATGCAAACACCAAAGAAGTTATGCACAGTGACTGGATAAAGCAATATAAAGAAGTGTTCAGAGGAATAGGACGGTTACCAGGAGAACACAAGATAAAGTTGAAGGAAACGGCAGAACCTGTTATTCACCCAGCAAGAAAAGTGCCAGTTGCTTTAAAGGAGAGACTTAAAAAGAAACTAGACACACTGATAAAAGAGGGAGTCATCAGGAAAATAGAAGAGCCCACAGAATGGGTGAACTCACTTGTAATAGTGGAGAAAGCAGATGGAGATCTAAGACTGTGTATAGATCCAAAAGATTTAAACAAAGCGATTCAAAGAGAACACTATAGACTTCCAACAAAGTCTGATATAACAAGTGCGATGAGTGGAGCATGTTACTTTTCCAAATTGGATGCCTCATCTGGATTCTATCAGATGGTCCTAGATGAAGAAAGCGCAAAGCTGTGCACTTTTAATACGCCATTTGGAAGGCATTGTTTCTTAAGATTACCGTTTGGCATCAGTTCAGCCCCAGAAGTATTCCACAGAACTGTGCAGCAACTTTTTGATGGAATTGAAGGAGTAGGAGTTTTCATTGATGACGTGGTGGTTTGGGGACGTACAAAGAAAGAGCACGACGCAAGACTTTGCAGGGTCCTAAATCAAGCACAGAAAACAGGATTAAAACTGAATAAAAATAAGTGTGAGTTCGGAGTGAGAGAAATTACCTTCCTGGGAGAAAGGTTGTCTGAAGAAGGGGTACAACCAGACAGAGAGAAAATCCGCGCAATCAAAGAAATGCCAGAACCAAGAGACAAGAAAGACCTCCAGAGAGCTTTAGGGTTAGTAAACTATTTAGGAAAGTTTGTTCCAAATCTGTCAGCAAATACAAGGTCATTAAGAAACCTGTTGGAGGCAAACACAGAGTGGCAATGGAAAAAGGAACATATAGAAGAGTGGGTGTGGTTAAAGGACAGTTTGACCAAAGAACCTGTCTTAAAGTTCTATGATCAAGATAAGCCACTAAAAGTCTCTACGGATGCATCGAAATTGGGTTTAGGAGCAGTTTTGCTTCAGCAACATGACATCGAGTGGTATCCAGTTGCATATGCATCTCGCACAATGACGTCTGCGGAAAGAAACTATGCACAAATAGAAAAGGAAACTCTAGGTGCAGTGTTTGGCTGCGAGAAATTCCATGAGTATGTTTATGGAAGACCAGTGATCCTGGAAACAGATCATAAGCCTCTCATAGCAATCTCAAAGAAACCACTAGGAGAAGTGCCACCTCGCATACAAAGACTAATGCTACGCCTACAGAAGTATGATCTGGCCTTTGAGTTTAAACCAGGCAAGCACCTCATTGTGGCAGATGCCCTGAGCAGAGCTAGTTTGCAGAATAGCACAAGCAGCACAGAGGAGGATGTGCAAGTTCACGTAGACTCTATCCGAGTACAGATACCAGTATCTACTGCAAAGTGGGCAGAGATAGCTAAAGAAACGCAGAAGGATGAACATTTAAAAAGAGTGATAGAAATAATTCACTTGCCTGAGAAAGTAAAAAAAAAATCATTTTGAAAACGAAATGCATTGATTTTATTTTTTTGCTGTTTGAAACAACTAACACTCATTTGGGGGATGGTGGGTCTCTAGCGGGGGGGGTCTTTGGAACGACCGCTGGCAAACGCTATGGATGAGCTCACCGGGGGCGTTGGTTGGACCAGGGGGAGAGCCCACCAAGCCATGCCCGGATAGAGACCACTCTCTCCGGCATGACCCGCGCCTGGAGGGGGGGGTAGCGCGTCCCTGGGTTTCGCTGACCTGCCGTCGAGTTTTCGATAACAGACTCAAATGAAGGACTTAGTGCAATTTTCGATTTCGCGGTTGAACGAACCAGGGGTCTAACGAGGGCCCCGTTGCCCCAAAACAAGCGTTCAAACCCGGGCAAACCAAGTGCGCACTGCTGCCCTGGTCCTTCCAAGGATCCAGGCCTCTTGGCCAGCAAAGCTAACCCAAAAACAAGCGTTCAAATCCGGGCAAACCAAGTGGGCGCTGCTGCCCTGGTCCTACCAAGGACCCAGGCCTCAATGGCCAGCAAAGCTACCCCAAAACAAGCGTTCAAATCCGGGCAAACCAAGTGCGCACTGCTGCCCTGGTCCTTCCAAGGATCCAGGCCTCTTGGCCAGCAAAGCTAACCCAAAAACAAGCGTTCAAATCCGGGCAAACCAAGTGGGCGCTGCTGCCCTGGTCCTACCAAGGACCCAGGCCTCAATGGCCAGCAAAGCTACCCCAAAACAAGCGTTCAAATCCGGGCAAACCAAGTGCGCACTGCTGCCCTGGTCCTTCCAAGGATCCAGGCCTCTTGGCCAGCAAAGCTAACCCAAAAACAAGCGTTCAAATCCGGGCAAACCAAGTGGGCGCTGCTGCCCTGGTCCTACCAAGGACCCAGGCCTCAATGGCCAGCAAAGCTACCCCAAAACAAGCGTTCAAATCCGGGCAAACCAAGTGCGCACTGCTGCCCTGGTCCTTCCAAGGATCCAGGCCTCTTGGCCAGCAAAGCTAACCCAAAAACAAGCGTTCAAATCCGGGCAAACCAAGTGGGCGCTGCTGCCCTGGTCCTACCAAGGACCCAGGCCTCTTGGCCAGCAAAGCTACCCCAAAACAAGCGTTCAAATCCGGGCAAACCAAGTGCGCACTGCTGCCCTGGTCCTTCCAAGGATCCAGGCCTCTTGGCCAGCAAAGCTAACCCAAAAACAAGCGTTCAAATCCGGGCAAACCAAATGCGCACTGCTGCCCTG